TTTGAAACGTCATGGTTAATGGATTGAATGGTATGACCATCCTCCCTGCAACAAATATAAAGCACAAATGTGATTAGAGGTTATACTCCTAGTGATAGCCAATAGAATAGTCCTTTGTAGTTTAGACCTTAACTTTTCAAGACTTGCTGACCCATCGTCTCATTTTCTGGCAACAAATGTTAGTGAAAGTAGATTGAGGACCTTAAAGATGAATTAAAAAAAAAGGGAAATTTGCATACCTAGCCCAATTCTTATGTATTTACATATCTCTCGCCTAAAGTTTCATATTTACGCACATAACGCTCAATTCTTTTATATGACATAAAAATAGCATTATTATCACTTTTTATATGACATAAAATTACTATCTTCAATAGCAAGTCATACATTTGTTCGACTCTTGTTTAACATAACTATCCCAGTCTTCTGCACATTTTTATATTCTTATCTTAAAATGGTTGCAAACTTGCGTTGCCTTCCAAAATTAAGAGTAAGAATAATCATCTAAGACATCATTTTATATTCTTATCTTAAAATGGTTGCAAATTTGTGTTGTCTTTCAAAATTAAGAGTAAGAATAATCATCTAAGACATCATTTTAAATAGGAAAAACTTCTTCTCCACATGATTTATACTACATATCATTTGATGATCTGCATCAATCACGTACATGTCTTTTTAATATAGATATGAATCACATCTAACATGCAAATAGAGATGTCCAAAGTAACCATCCTTTAAGAACACATCTGAGTAGGAGAAAATAAAGAAGAGATGAGTTGAGGACTGAATATATTGTTAGAAGCTAAAAATGGTTAGAATATACGATCAACTTAAGGAAAATATGAAAATTGTAGGCCTATTCAAACAAGATATCCACACTCTATCCTAGATTAGCATTATATCTTAGAACTCATGATAAAGAATATCATCTTGCCCAAAGCTCACAGTAAGCATAAAGTTCAGCATAAAGTATAATTTCATCAACCAAGCAAGAAACTGAGCAGTCGAGCCAATGTTTACTATCCGAGGAGAAATAAAACTAGAGATTAGCAGACAAACATGAACGGCGAACCCAAAACTCTCGCACCAGAAAGCCTTTCGCGATTTTCAGTGGAGAATGAGGGAAAGACAGACGGCAACTCGCGATCGTGAATTTGAGAGGAGACGACTGGACAGGAGGCGAGAATGGGATTGGGAGCGCTGTTAGGGTTTATTTGAGTACAGTTTATTATATATTATATTAAATATGTAATTTATATTTTATAAATATATAATAGTATATAAGTAATAGTAATATAATATTTTTAATATTTTTTTTATATATTATAATTTATAGGATAAATTTTTTAAAATATGATAATTTTTTTAAAATAAATTTAATTAGTTATAATTTATAATATTTAATTTTATGAATATGTATTATGTATATTTATACACGAGCTGCTTAACGAGCCGAACACGAGTTGTTGTTCGAGCCAAATTGACAGCCCTAGAGATAAACCTACAAGACTTGGGCATGTTGTATAAAAAATGATCTTAATTTATTAGAATTAAATGAGAATATGCCACTTAATGAGACACAATGGAGAAAAAGGATTCATATAGTCGACCCACTTAGTGGGATAAAGTTTTTTTGTTGTTGTTGTCGTTATTGTATATATCTTCACCTTTTTGTATCTCCTATTATGTTTTTCAAGCGTATGGGAGGTGGGGTAATCTGTCATGAACCGACCTAGGGTTTGAAATTAACCAAGACAAGAACAGACTCTCTGACGGTAAAAAAAAATTCATGAAAGAGCTATTAAAGAAAGTAATTAAATTAACAAGTAAAAATATGTACATTTCGGATTGTTGTACTCACCTTCTATACACATTTCCTCTTTTTCTATTCATCTTTTCCAAATGCTTAAAACCTAAAAATAATATTAAAGCAATATAATGAATTATCTAAAAATAATTCAAGAGTAATCACACTAAACTACAATAACTTAAGAAAAAAAATCAATATGCGTGCTAGTATTTTATTTCTCTATAAGAAATTCTATAATATGCAAATCTTTTATATTTTTATAAGAAATCTGATAATATGTTAATGCATGTATTAATAACCTTTTCGAAATGAAAATATTAAAGTCTTCTATATGCATTTATTTTATCTTTACTCTTATTTTATGCTATTTACATACACATGTCTCTGTGAAGATCACCGTTAACAAAACCTATCACACCCTTGGGCCGATTTTGCCTCGTCAACTCCGGTCAACACGACGGTTAGTGATATAAATATCACAATTATCTTGGGTGGAAGGACTTTTACCTCTCATAACCGATATTATCTCGTCGGTACAACATTTAACAATGTAGACATCACATTTGTTTACAGTTGTTTGGGGAGGTAAGCTTTAGTCCTGACCGATATTATCCTGTCGACACTACATTTAGTGATCCAACCATCACAATTATCTTGGGTGGTAGAAAAACTTGATGCGCGCGGGTATACTAGCATCCTCTGACTGTACCATTAGGAGGTGAAACGATCATCTGAACATGCACATACAAGCATTCATATATAAGTTATTTTATTCATCATAGTTTACATTATTCCAATAAATTTTCATGTATCTACTAACATGCATATTTACTCTGCTGTAACTTTTCATTATGCATATCTCTTTTCTCATGTATATCTCTTATATGGTGCATCTTTTTTATTATACATCTCATGCATATCTTTCATGCACATTTTATAACTTTTCTTTCATACTTATTTGTTTTTTCTATCTAAGAATATGAAGAATCTACTGCAATATAAATCTAATTGAACTAAAAAATACTTATAAATCCACATACATTTTGCAATAAAGAAGATTACTGAAATTTAGAAATGTAATCACTCATCTCGGTTGCCATGTTAAATTCTTAATCTTTGGTAACAAGTTGGATGTTACAGTGACTTTTATATTAAGCTTAATATTCTGAATTTACGGAGCTGTTCTTCGAATAGCTTTCACACACTTCCTTTGAACTCGAAGCCCAGATAAACAACCTTAAATTGTTAGACAATCATTAAAATTAACTTTATATATAAATTTATTTTAATCGTAATTCTTAGACAATCATTTTTATTATCTATACTATAGTATTTATTTTTAAATAGTTTACAAAAAATTGTTTTTATTTATGGGTTTGCAAACTATGTGGAACTTTATTTTATAAATGTATTTCTCATGAAAATCAAGAATTTTATAATACTGGCATGTAATTTTGTTAAATCTAATTTCTTTTGTTTGGCTATTTCTCAATCATAAGGTTATGTACTGCGCAGTCATCTTAATGCCTTCTTCTTTTTGTAATATTGGCCATTTAATTTACTTTGATCACTTAAGATACCTTTAGAGTAATTGATGATATCCTCAATTAAACTATGTATTTGTTTATAACTATTATTTAAGGTGTAATTTATGACTAGGTCAAAAATTAAAATATGCTATGCCAATGAGTTGGCAGTTTCATATTACTAACTTATACCCAAACCAACGATGAGAACTTAGAGCTCACATTATACTAGAATTATAGAATATTAATCACTTAATTAATTTACATCTGTTTACTCATGTCTTTTGAAAAGAACCAACTCTACTGGAATTTTTTATATTTTTATGCGAACAATTAGTCACCATTGGCCACAAGAGACATGATCGTTGTTACGTTTTTTTTCTCAGCATCTCTTTTTCTATTGGTCTCTTATGCAAGATTTTTGTTTTTATTGCAGACATTGCTTCCATTTTGTAAATATCATTGGAGATAATTTTATTATTTTACTGGTGCATAAACCTGTCAAATGTTTGATTGAATTCTTAAACTTAATAATATTTGGCTGTTCTTCATTAAATTCTTTTTAAGGATGCATGGATACCTTAAAATAAAAGAAAACTTTTAAAATTGTTACATTAAGTCTTGTGTTTCATTTTTGAACTATTTGGAGGCAATTTTTTTGGAAACTCTGCCTTGAGAAGAATTGGACTAATAATTTTTGTAATTTGAAATATAAAACTCTGATTTCAAATATAAATCTTGCGGAAATCATTTTCGTGGTGGCAGTAGTAGTTAAAGCTACTCATGCAATCTATTTTTTGTCGGGAAGATGAGAAAAGAACAATGAAAGTGGTTTACATAATTTCATTAAGCCATATAGTTTCATGTGCATATTGTTTACTACAGATGATATACTGATAAAACTTGTTAACTGGGGTTCTAGCTAGGAATAAACCCGTTCATTGGATGAGCCCAAACACATACCATCTCCATCTTTCGCTTTTCTTGTGAGGCAGAGATATGTAGTACTTGGATCCATGGCAAAGAAAAAGGATCCTTGCGTTCTATTTTTATTTGGGCCACTTAAATAGTGAAGAATTATGTTTTTGTATGATTAGAATAGTAATTGAATAAATTCTAGATATGAACGGACAATTGGAGCATTTCAAAAATATTGCAGATTTGTCATTTAAGATGGAATTCTTTTCCTTATTTGGTTAATATAACTGAAATAAATGTGTAGAGCCAGGAAGCAAAATTTTACGTACCGTTATGGTAGGAGTTGAGCTGCTCATTTCTGTGAGTTTGGATTGGCATGAACCCCGCAGCATGCCATGTTGGTTCTTTTTTTGGATCGGAGCCAGTATATATATATATGTATATATACATCTTTACCTACATATATATTTATATATCTACACATGCATGTATATGTATATATATATATAGATAGACAGATAGATAGATAGATATTGTAGCATATCACTCGGAACATGCTTCTTTTATAACAGCTGCTCCAAAGAATTACACACTAAATTTATAGATGCCTTGGTTGAATGTTGAATCTTTGCCTTTGATCCAAATAATTCATATATTGTATTCCTCATCTTTTAATTTTTTTAACTTATTTATTTTGTTTTTGAATACAAGTATGCTCATTCTATGCGTTTACCTGTAATCAGCTACATCCAAGAAGCCTGACGCGAAGGCGCAGGCCGTGAAGGTTGCTAAAGCAGTGAAGTCAGGGTCTTCATCGATTAAGAAGAAGACAAAGAAGATCCGAACTTCTGTAACTTTTCACCGACCTAAAACATTGAGAAAGCCGGGGCAGCCAAAGTACCCCCGAATTAGTGCTACTCCTAGAAACAAGCTAGACCATTACCAAATCCTTAAGTATCCACTAACAACTGAATCTGCCATGAAGAAGATTGAAGAGAATAACACTCTTGTCTTCATTGTTGACATTAGAGCTGACAAGAAGAAGATTAAAGCAGCTGTAAAAAAAATGTATGACATTCAGACTAAGAAAATTAACACACTAATCAGGTTGGCAATTCCACTAATCGGTTTCTTGTAGCTGTTCTTAAGATGGAACAATTTGGTTTTCTATGTTGTTAAATTTTTTTTTTTTTTTGACAGACCTGATGGCACAAAGAGCTTATGTGAGACTGACTCCTGATTATGATGCCCTCGATGTTGCAAACAAAATTGGTATCATCTAAATGTGTATGAAGTATTTGCTGTTTTATTGTTTAGCTGCTTTCTGTTATTTTTGGAAGTTGAACAAATTCATTTATTTTTCTTGTTAACATTAAGAAAATGGCTGATGCCAGAGCTGATTATTTTTTTTGCCCGTTTGAAATTCCTTGAATTCTATAGTCAAATTAGTGTTTCATTAATGATAAATCATCTTCTATTTTCTTTGATCTGCCTAAAGTTTTTACTGTTAACAATTTTCGTGCAACTGTTATGTAGCTAGTTTTTTGGGTTATCCTAAAAATTTCTCTATGATCTTCAACAGAAACATCATTACCAATAGCATTAACTCAACTATTTAGGCAGTTTAACAGATCCTTTTTCTTTTACTAAGGGCTTATTTTTATTTTTTTAATATTTTTTAAGAACATTTTTGGTTATTGTACTTTTATTTTTTTAATATTTTTTAAGAACATTTTTGGTTTTGTACTTATCTATTTTATTTTTATTTTAAAAACAGGTTAATTTGTTTTTAAAAGACATTTAAACAACTTTTAGTCATTTTTTGTTTTAAAAATTTCTATTAAAGGCTTGTGTGAATACTTATCTATTTATCATGTACTAGATTTGATATTGGATGTGTTATTGGTTTGGCATATCTATCCATTTACAGTCCCTATAAATCACTTCTAAAGTCAGTGCATCAAATTTTATAATATTTTAAAAGATGCCCAGGCAAAGGAATTTTATACAAAAAGGGAGATCTAAAACTTAAATCTTACATAACTGATTGATAGGCCAACTTCTTGATGTTGCACATTCTTAGGGTGGCATCGAGACTTGTAGAATTAAAAAATAAGTTGTAATAGCAATATATAATGCGTAAGCTGAATTTAAATATGTGATATTGTGAAATTGTGAGTTTTTATGGCTTAACATCATCTTGAAAGGTGTGAACATTTTAGATATCTTGAGTCTATTGTTCAAAGTGATGGTGATATAGATGGGGATGTTAGTAGTAGAATTCAAGTTGGTTGGTTAAAGTTGAGGAATGCATCGGGCCTATTGTGTGATAGAAAAGTACTGTTTAGAATTAATGGAAAATTTTATAGGATGATAGTGAGACCTGCAATACTTTATGGTGCAGAATGTTGGACTTTAAAAGAGTAGTATAAAACAAAGGTGTTGTTGAGATGAGAATGTTTAGGTGGATGAGTGGCTTGACACTTGGAAACAAAATACAAATTGAATATATCCATGCTAGGGTTGGTGTTAGCTTCAATGACGGACAAGATGATAGAGAGTTGTCTGATGATCTGGTTAGGAGAGTAGATGTTTTAGATTCAACTTATGTTAAGAAAGACAGAGGTAGACATAAAAAGATTTGAGCATATTGTATAAACAATGATCTTAATCTATTAGAATTAACTGAATAAGAAGACATTCTATAGGATGCAATGGAGAAAAAAAATTCATGTAGCCGACCCCACTTCTTTTTCTTCTTGTTGCTGTTAAAATGATCGTGTAAAATTTAAAAATTGAATGTAAATGTCCTATAAAGTCTTATTATGATAACAAGTCAACCATCAATATTGCTCACAATGCTTTGCAACATATTTAAATTTGACATATATTTCATAAAAGAAAAGCAAAACAATGATCTAATTTGAACTTTGTTTGTTACTTAAGAACAGCTTGTTGATTTTTTTCACCTAAACGATTTTCATGGGCAGTCTTTTATAAGCTTATTAGGCAACCTTAGAAAGGAGAACGATTGAGGTGGACTTAAAAAAAAATTTTCTTGAAAAATCAAGAGGAAAAAAAATAATGTTGTTTTTATGGCATACAAAGGGTAAATACTTGGACTTGTCAGTGCAAGGTATAAATTCTTACTGATATTGATTTGCTCTGTTGATGAAGGGTGCGTTTGGGGCCGCTTGTGCTTATTCAGATAAGCACCTTATCCTGAAATACGGCCCGCTGGTGGCCCACGGGTTCAATCCGCGGCCTGCATTTAGTGTAAAAACCCAACCGCGTTTTCGGATAAGCTGCCGAAACGTGTTTTCCAAACGGTGAGGCGACGCTTTCAAACTTATAAGCTGCCTTAAACGGGCCCGAAGTTGGTACTCGCTATACCCGCGGGGCAAAGGTGACACAAAAAGTTATTGAAGTTATAATAGGATCGATCTAGATTCAATCCATCACGAGTCTTGATTGGTCATGTTATCTTATTGGATTTTGATTAAAATTAAAAGTGGCAGTGTCAAAAGAAATATAGAAAGTTATTGAAGTGTTCATAATCTGTGGTAATGGTCTTTTGAGGCCTTTTTTGAAGATTGCTAAATAATAATTCACTCACAAAAATTCAATTGTAAATAATCACATCATTAGTATGGCGTATATAAAAAATAAAATTGTTCAATTTAATTATTCAATAATATTCAAAATAGGATGCCTATAGATAAAGTTGTTATAAGAGGAATGTAGATAAGAGGGTGTGATTGCGGCTTTCAAGTTTCTTTGGGTTTTTAATTAATCTTTATTTTCTCTCATCTACAATTTACTTTTAGATTATCAAATTTTGAAGTAATGAAATACGAAAACACAAGATTTCAAAAAAAGTTCTATGTTTTTTTTTTTTTTGCTACAAATATGTGGCTAACCATTTAAAAATTAAAATTTTTTATGATGTGCTTTATGTTTTTATATAATTTTGATCACTTTTTAATTAGTATTTACACGTAATATATAATTATTATGTTATTTATGTCATATTTAATTAATTTTTAGTTCAACTCCCGTTTCCACCCCTATCAAACCAATGAACTTCGAACATTTTCTTATTACGGTTTGATATCTAGTCAGATTTTTACTACTTTTGTCTTACACCACCCAATCTTTCATATTTACAAGTATATTACTCAAATCTTTATTATCAAAATAATATTATTATTATATTTTGAAAAGTGAAATAAATTTTTTCAAGCGTAGATTTAAGGTACTAAAGCATTATTATTATTAGGCCAAATTATGAAAAGGAGCTCATTTATTAGGAGAATATGAGGAAGGAGCTTCTCAAAAAAAAAAAAAAAAAAAAAAAAAAAA